ATGAGAGAGAGAGAGAGAGAGAGAGAGAGGCTGTGAATGTATGAATTACCACCGTTTTGCGACGTTTCTCTATTAACAGTGAAGCTGTGGCTTTAATTCCTTTAGAAACACTGATGTTACCAGCTCCTTGTTGAGAAAGATAATGTAGCTCTTGAGCGATTAAGCTATTTAGTTGATAAAACTGCGGGGCAGCGCTAAAAAGTTTGTTCCTGAATGTCTGAGTGCGGCCGCAGCGTGATCTGTGTGTGTGAGATACAGAAGACAGCGCATTAGTTTAGAACTCTTCTTATTTTTATTTTTTAATCGTAGAGAGTGTGTTAATTTGTGCAATGATAACATACCAGCAAAAATATATATATATATATTTAAAAATATATTAGTATGAGTACATTACGATATAAATTTATTAGGATGAGTACATTATTATTTATGGGCTTAAAAACAAGATGCAAACAATCAGAATATTGTACCTGGTGGGGAGTGCACAGTGTAAACATGAAACATATGCCATTACCTTTATTATACTGTGGTACAGTTATAGAGGCCCTTCATAATGCAGAGCTCAGCTGCTGCTCTGCCAATAGTTAGCAATGGCACTCTAGTATGCAGTGTTTAATAAACTGCTGTTTTACTGAATTCTGCTGAGGTGAAATTCAGTGCAGTCCTGTGTCGGCGATTTGGCAAAAAAAATTAAATCTAGATTTTGACCGATTCTCGATTTTTAACTATTCATCTTAAAAATGTTACAAAATGATTGCAATAACTTTTTCTTTACTAACGCTCTAGTTAAAGAAAATTCTAAGTGCAGCACACATGAAGTTGTCAGCATGATGTAAATGTTAAACAAATTCGTATCGTGGCTTTGCTGGGGATACACAGCCCTAGTGTGAGTGTGTTGTACCTCTTCAGTCAGTGATGTTTCGAGCTGGTTGAGTTTCTCCTCTTTTTCTTTCAGGAGCGTTTGACCCTTCTGAAGAGTCTCCCTCAGCTCAGCCAGATCCCTCACCTCCTACACACACACACACACACACACACACACTTCACTTCATTTCTGAGTCATTTGCTGGCATGCTCAGTGGGACTTCATTCAGTCTGTCCTGAACTTAATTGAATGAATTCACACTCACACACTCACTCACATACACTCTCTCTCTCACACTCACACTCACACACACACACACACTCTCTCTCTCCCTCTCTCTCTCTCACACACACACACACTCACACACCACTTCATTTCTGAGTCATTTTGCTCAGTGGGACTTCATTCAGTCTGTCCTGAACTTAATTGAATTAACTCACACTCACACACACACACTCACACTCTCTCTCACACTCTCACACA